TCTCGTCTTTCTGCACCTTCTCCTCTCAGGCAGCACCACTTTGAGCTTTTTTGTCTGACTCTTCTCTTCGGAGATAAAATCCTTGAGCCTCGCCTCGTTAAACGTCCTCTGTTCATCTCCGTGTTTATTCTTTTTATAAATCAAAGTAATGCTAATGTATGCAAAGTGAGTCACCCATGCAAAAGCCCAGCAAATCCCTCTGCAGTTTGGAGCTGCTGTGTTTCCTGATCACCCCCCCCCCACACACACACACACTGTGCAGTTGTGTACAGTGTCAGATTGTCTGCTGCTGCACTGTGTGAGCTGCTTCCACCCCCCACCCCCCTCCCCTCCAGCAGCCCTGTTGTCAGGGACTTGAACAGCTGGTGGGAAAAATCTTATCTCCATGTACTTGTCATGTTAAATTACAGGGATTTCTGGAGCATCTACAACACACAAACAGCAGCACGAAATAAGACACATCATCACTCAGCGTGTCTGTCCTCATCAGAGCATTCTGTGCAGAAACAATCGTATTCTCTGGGATTTCCTGTAGAGATGGAGGCTCGTTGCTGGCCAGTCTGCTGCAGGACTTGTGCTGGCACAGTAAGCCTCTATAATTGAGGTTTAGAGGGATAAAGGGGGCGGGGAAGATGTGCTGGGTCACTGCTGGACAGGACTTCCTTCCCCCCTTGTGGGAAATCAGACTGGGCCCTAGATCCGAATGCGTTTTGTCCTTCCAGTCATCTACGCGTGCAGAGGACAGACGCCTGGCAGCTGGATCTGTTGGTGTTGTTTGATGTCTTTTATCTTTGAGCAGCTCGGCCTCAGAGTTCATCTCGTATTGTATCACCAACGGCGGAGCTACAGAGACTTCATGTGTTATTACAAAATAAGACTAGTTAAAATCTGTGAAGCAGACACAGTGTTTGTGAAGTCATTGGTGAGAGACAATATCAAAGTCTACGAAACTCTAAAAACTGTATTTCAAAGGTCCCAGATTGTATTAGGTATTTTTTAATTATAAAGCTATATGTTGTATAAATACAGTTCCAAACACTAACAGAACAAGTCTGTCATCCTAAAGGATAATAGAGAATCTGGTCAGTTTATACAATACAGTTTATAAAATAAAATACCCTGTAGAGACTACAGATTGAACTTTTGTGGACCAGACCCGAAGTCAGTCAGTCAGAGGAGATTTGAAGCAGAGAAACTTTTTAAGGAGAAAATACACAATTAAATGTCAGGTAGCCGACACTCTCTTTAAAACATGTAGAACACAGAGAGTCTTTTCTTTTTATTTTAGTAACACTGACAAACATTTCAGGAAGCAGTGGCTCGAGCCCGAACAAGTCGCTCAGCGCCCCCCCGGAGATTTTAAGGACCAGTTGGGAAGGACAATTATGCAAAGTTAGTTCTGTCCAACAAAGAGGATGGTTGAAATTCATTTGCATATTCATGGCCATGTAATAACTGCACAGTCCCTCTGGATACACCTGTGAGACTCAGCAGTGATACAGCAGGGTTAATTAGAGTGACAGGTAATTCAATCTGAGTGTGGTGATGAAACAGGAAGTCAGTTTGCAGCCGGAGGCCTGGATTCAATCAGCAGCAGGACCTGAGGCCACTTCACCAGTCGGTGAGTTGAGTGGGATTTCAAATGCACACAGACCCGAGATGGTGGTCACAGATTTGTTACACACACATACATACACAGAGCTAATTAGATGGAGGTAATGCTGGACTGTATATAATGAAAAACAACAGACCACCAACAGGCTTCATCCTGAACATAATGAGAGTGTTGGGACTGGGACTGGATTCATGTCTCTAGTGGAGGTGGACAGATTTTAGACTTAAATTCCCCTCCTGCAGTATCTGGAGAGGCTTGGTCGTCCTGATGAAAGTCCATTTCTATAACAGACCAAATGTTAAAATGTACGATGAACGTGAAAGGCTCCTTATGGTCGTCACCATGACAGGAAACAATGGCGGCTCTCCTGCTCACACAGGATCTGGTATTCAAGATAAACAGTAAAATGTGTTTGTGAACAGATTTGAGGA